GAGTCTCCTTCCATTAGAGCAAGTCTCTACCTAGTGTCCACTGACCCTTCAGACGAAATGCTGACCGGACAATGGAGCAGGGGTGTCTCTAGGTCATGGCTTTAGCAGTTCCAGCAAAGAGGGGGTGTGTGTGGAAAGGGGGAATTAGCAGCCCTGTTGGGGTGTGAAGGAAAGAGAAATAAAAAGCAGACAAGATGAGTCAGGCTGGTGGCAAGGAGCCACCTGGGGTGATAGTGACCGGAGCCTTCCCTGCAGAGCCACGAGATGGCTCCGAAGCTCTGCCCGGACTCCCTCCGCTGGGCCGGTCTCCTGTGCAGGGTGCTGCTGGGCACCTCTGAACCTCAGGCTCAGCCTCGCCCCCTCGTAACGAGAGGCTCGGACGCACTCAGAACCTCTTGACCTGAGGGCCCAGCCCCAGAGGCCCTGGAAGGCCATAAATATTTGAAACCACCTATGAAATATTTTTACTAAAGAAAAGGATATCAAACCAGAAACACTCAAGCCCCTAAATCTAACCACCGATTTACAGGAAATACTGGGGGTGGAAAAACGTGTTAAATGACACCATGGGATTGCAATTCGCAAACTCTTAATTACACAAAACTCCCTGGGACAAATGACTCAGTGTCCTCAACATAAACTGCAAGGGAAGAAAAGAGGGGACTATAGAATTAAGGAGACTTAAGAGACTTATCAATTAAGAGTCATGAACGGGTGGGCCTTATCTGCACTTTGACAAGAACAACCTATAAAAACAATTCCAGAAATAACTGGGGACATTTCAGCAGTGATGAAATATTTGGTGGTATTAAAAGTGATTGTGAACATAAGTTTTCATGTGATAATGGGATTATGGCTATTTTTAAAAGTCCCTTTTTTTTTTAGAGAGAGAGATAAATGTTCAAATACTTACAGATAATAGGATGCTTAGGATTTGCTTCCAAATCTCAAGAAAGGGCTGGGAAGGGACTGGCTGCAGATGAAAAGCTTGGCCACAAGTCCACAGTCTTGGAAGCCGATTTTGGGTCTGTGGCGATGCATGCTAGCACTTCCTCGCAAAAACAAACACGCCTTCATCCCCCAGGCGGCCCACAGGCTTGCTTACAGAGATTTTGGTGAGCTTATTAAAGTTCAGTTTAACTTTCTTTTCTTGATCCGATTTACATCATACACCCAGCTACCCAATCACTGATTCTGAAATACGGGGAAATTCATCCATCAACACCAAACCACCCTGTCTCTCAGGCAATGCACGTAGCAACTGACAGCAGAGAAACCGTTCCTGTCAGTGCTTTGTCCTTGGCATCCCTATGACACCCAGCAATTTCCTATGTCTCAGAGCCTCAACTTTCTCCCCTGTAAAATGGGTGAAGGGAACGAGATTTTTATGTGTGTAGTGCTTGGCCCAGTGTCTGACCACCAGCACACTGCAGTTACTATGATGACCAGTGGCAGCAATACCAGAAAAACGCAGAATAGGGTCTCATCCATATAAAAAATGATGCTTCTTCAGGCATTGCAGAAAGATGCCTGGGATATTACAAATAGATAAGAAAGATAATCCCACTGGGAGTTGATCATTCATTCAACAAACACTGCCGAGCGCCTTTCATGTGCCAGACACCGTGGGCCTGTGGAGAAGAGGATGAGCCAGGCCCTGCTCTCCTGGGGTTGACAGGGTGGAGGAATGCACGCATGTTGAGCCTGGGGGAGCCAGGGGGAGCCAGGGGGAGCCAGGGGTCAAGACTTCCTTAAGGTGGTCCAGGGAGGTACCCAGATGGAGATCTGAAGGATACAGAATGAGCCAGGCTGGATACGGGAGCAAAGAGAGTGAAAAAGCATCCGAAGATGCTAAGGGAAGAGCAAGTGTAAAGGTCCAGGGTGAAAAGCGGTAATTCCTGGGTCTGAAGGACTGGAGCAGGGAGGACAGACCAAGGCGGAGGGACAGGGAGTGGCTGCAGCGGAGAGGGGGTTTCTCTCACAGTCAATTCCTAACTTTGTCACTATTTCATGAAAAGCATGTATCATTTTTATAACATTTTAAAAGCTAAAAAAAGGAGAAAAACACCTCACAAGGCCCCAAGAAATAAAGAAATTATTATGGCATTTTCTCTTTTTGTCTTGAGCATCTATAATATGTTGACATTCACTTACCTTTCCTAAAGAAACCACCTGTTTAAAGGTACAAGCATGGCACCCTCTCCTGTCTGGTCTCCTGCAAGGGCCTCCCACCCTCCCCTGCCTTCCTTCCCTTTGTTGGCAGGCTAGACCTGCATACGGGAATTAGGCCAGCCCTGGCTGGGTTGCTAGTTGGTTGGAGTGCCGTCCCAGATACCAAAAGATGGCGGGTTCAGTCCCGGGCAGGGCACATACCTAGGTTGCAGGTTCAGTCCCTGGTCAGGACGTGTACAAGGCGCAGCTGAGTGATGTTTCTATCTCACACTGTTGTTTGTCTTTCTTCCTCCTTCCTCTCCCTCTACAGTCAGTAAACATGCCATTGGGTGAAGGTTAAAAAAATAAAAAATAAGAATAAAAAGAAATAAAATTAAATTAAAATAGAATCATGTCTAATTTAACCGATGTCCTTTCCAACCCACGTGGAGGCTCTGGCCCTCAGAGCGCTTCCGGGGGACATCAGACTGAGTTCGGAAGAAAGTGAGTTTGGGGGAAATCTTTCCATTTTCTCAGCTGAGTGCAGTGTGAGCTCCACCTCCATCCCCAGCACAGCCGGCCCACAGGAAGAGAGAACTGAGTATCGGGTGCTGGGGGACTGCCCTGGAAAGTGGCATCTGCCGGGTCTGCCTGCAGCCGGTTGCTAGAATGCTTTTCCTGGTTCCCTCTCACGACCCTGGGAATGTGGTGTGGAGGTGGTGCACATACCACGCATGCAAGTTACCTGAGTGGGGCTGGCTACCTGGAGGCAGAGCCGCAGCTACACTGGGGCGGGGGGGGGGAAACGCACTAATGCCTCCCGCTTTGCTCCACCACCGTGGGAACCTTCCAAGGCCCCACCTGGCGGTTTCTCCCTGCAGGAACACCAGGTTCATCATGCATTTGTTCCCCTGACTGTTTTGACTCGCTGCCTGTGTCCCAGCCCCGCCCCGCCCCCTCCCCCACCCAGCTCAGGACCTTTCATTTTATGTCAGATTTAGGGAGGCCACTGGCTCCTGGCAGAGTAGGGTGACACAGGACACACAGGGGTCTGTCCTCACGAGATGCAGAGACAAGGGCACCGATGGTTCTGGTCCCAGGAGAGAGGCACCTCCCAGACAACACATCTCATGGATGTCCTTGGTTGGGCCTCTCCCTTCAAAGGCCTTTATTTGCTTGTTCCTCATTGACGGTGACAAAGGAGAGCCCACCTGCTGCAAAGCCCTCATTTGAACGATGAGAGACCTGAGGCCAGGGCCATCGCTCCACCACCAAAGACACCCCTGCAAAGTTATGACCTGTCCCCAGCCAGACCATCAGCAGAACCTCGTATCCTAGCACCAATAATTCAGACTTAGAGTCAAGGTCTGCCTCTCAGCTCCGTCACTTGCTATGGTTCGATCCTGCACAAATTGCCCAGCCTCTCCATGCCTCAGTTTCTGCAACTGCGAAACGGGGATAAGAATGTTTATCGCTTGGGGTTGTTGATGTAAGTCCACCACTGATCCCACCACTTAATTATTCCCGTGTTCACCTATTAATCCCAGGCCCCATCCCTACAGCCAGCGAAGGGCGAGGATTCTGCCTGCTTTGTTTACCGCTGTGTCCTCATTACCTGACACTCCCTAGCCCAGTGTAGAGGGTGAGCAAGTATCTGTGATAACTCAGCCCAGTGCCTGGCACCGGCAGCCATCATTATGAACAGAGGAAGCCCATTATTATAGATGACAGGGAAGCAGGTTTTATTTCAAAACAATGCAATAACCAGGAACTGAGAAACAAATAGCTTTCTGAGTGGGGCTGCCACCAGGGAACTTTTCTGAGGCAAAATCTCTCCATCCTGGTCCAGGTGGGGATCAGGCCCTCACAAGCCTGGGAGCCAAGTTGCTCCAGGGTCTGGCCCCACCGTCCTTTCTCAGGGACATTATCCCCCAGATGCAAGACCCCTTCTCTGGGGCTTTCTCTGCTCCAGAAGGCTCGGAGACAGCAGGGAGAAAGGCGCCACTCACCCAGTGTGCAAGGGGACAGCATGGTCTGATGGCAGGCTCACTAGATAAAACACCGGTCAGCTGAATTCGAATTTCAGAACAATCATACATTTTTCGTAAAAGTTTGTCCCGGAGATTGCATGGGATCTAGTTACTCTACAAAGAAAGGGGAAAAAAAGTATTCGACGTTATCTGAAATTCGAAGTTAGCTGAGTGTCCTGTATTCTAACTTGCTAAGTGTTAACCCAGGCTTGCCCGAACTTGGGGACTTCACTCTCCCCTCCCCTACCACGTGGCCATGAGCCCCACAGGAACCTGCTGGGCTGGTCAGGAGACCTCGCAGAGGGCGGCTGAGTGGACCTGGCTGCGTGAGCCCTCACTCAGCTCCTACACAACCCTCAGGAAGGGCAGGCTTTGCTCACAACCGAGCCTCCGCCTAGCACTGCATCGGCCACACCACTGAGTCACCACAACTCTGTCACAAGGACGAATCTCTGGCCCTGCCTTCCTTACACAGCCAAAAAAACGAAAACGGGAAACCACTTCAATGAAATCTAGGTCCAACACCCAAGCACTCCCTGTGGATCACTTTCTTCACTAGATTGCTCACCAGTAAGGACCCAACCTGACATGTCCTTCCAGGCAGACCTTGAGTGCCCCCGTATGCGCGTGCGCACTCCACTCAACAGGAGGTGCTATGCACATGCGTCCATCCAGCGGGGACCCATCTGAAGGGTAAGGTGTGCGCCTGCGCAAGAGGCCTTAACCAGGAAGCGCGGGAAAAGCCTGTCCATAAGCGGGCGCCATTTGGGGCCCAGTTGGTTTCCCGCGCTCGGAGCTTTTTCATCGCAGTCCATCTTCATGGCCTTCGCGCCCATGGGGCCCGAGCCCTCGTTCTTCCAGGCTTTGGACCAGCACAGGGCTTCCCTGCTGGCCGCCCTGAGGAGAGGCGGCAGGGAGCCCGCGGGCGTGGGGACCCGGCTGGTCTCCAGGTACCAGGGCTCCGCGAGGGGGCGGGGCACGTGCTCACGAGGTGGAAAGCGAGCAGGTTCCACGGCCTGGCCGGAGGGTTGGAGGTGCCCTGCAGGGAGATGTCCGGTTGCAGCTTCCGCTCTTTCTATATTAGAGGCCGAAGGCTACAGCCTCCCAGATGTTGAGGCCACCGCAGGTGGGGGTCCCTTGGCCAGCCAGCCCTGAGCCCCGAGAAGGCGGCTCCCTTAGCGCTCCTTCCCGTTCCTGCTTTTAATACTTACTAAACTTCAAAAAGCCTAGTGACAGCCCCCCCCCCCCCCGTGTCTTCTAGAATGTTCCAGGAGCGTCCCTCTCGCAGCTGGGCTCGAGGTGGCCTGAGATCCTTTTGGGTCGGGGAGTCCAAGGCATAATTGGGGGGGGGGATTGATGAAAAATTTAAACTTGAGTTTTTGTGACTTTTTTTTTTGGAAGAGAGAGCGAGAGAAAAATGAATGTTGTGAGTTCTCAATAAATGTGTTTTATCCAAATGAACAAGGAGGTCAACACAATTTAAGTGGTTTATAATAAAACAACGCTTTTCCTGTCTTGGAAGTGAAGACAGGGTACATATTTTAGATGGTTTCTTTAATAGCAAATGAAAGCTCAGAGCGAGGGGCTGATAAACATCAATCACAGCGGTTCTGTCGCTGCCCGACTTGGAACGAACTACAGAAAATGTGTCCGTATTATCGCCAACTTTCACCTAAAACGCTCTGTTTTTTTGCTGCTTTGATCTGCTTTTCTGGTTTATCAGCAAAGTTTTTCAGCCTAAGTAAATGGCTGTCTTTTATTTTTAAGCCCGGACCAACTATCAGAGGGGAAAAAAAGGAAAGGAAAGAAAAACCCGCAAGCAAACAAATTTTTACATAAGGATTTAGTTTGAGGGGGAATTTATGAGGATGAGGGAATGGAGGGAGTGGAAGTCCCCTGCTTACATTTCAGATGTAAATTAATCTGATTGTGTATCAGAGTTGGTCCTGCAACTTTTGTGTGTGTGTGTGTGTGTGTGTGTGTGTGTGTAACTGGAAAAAATGAATATTTGACTCAGTTTTTACAGGTCAATATTAGAAAATATTAAATGTTTTAAATTTCAGTTTCTGTTACATGTGAGTCCAGAGAGAGCAAGTTCCGGTGGAATTTAGAAGCGTCTGCGTTTTGCCCATTTGCTAGATTCGCTGTTCCATCCCAAGCACTGTGCTAACGGTATTTGTAACTGAACAGCATTGTTTCAGAGCCGATGGCTGGTGAAATTAAAAGTCAGCTGACAGAAAACTGGGCTCAGTATTAATAGTTCGCTGTGAAGTGGCCTAATCGCTGCCAAGTCTTTCCGTGGCAGCGATGAAAACGTTTTTTTAGCCACTAACATTCAAAAGAGCCGATTTAAAGCATGAGATCAATTAGAGTAATTAGCTACAAAAAGAAGGGTTTCTTTTGAAACACGCATACTTTTGCACTGCAGTTTTGGGAATTAAATTCAAAGCCAGTATGACATCATTTGAAATGGAAACAGTAATAGGTAAAGCCAACAAGTTTGTATTTAAATAGGTTAATATGAAAGGTAGATTCAAATGTATTTATAAGTTGAATTGTCTAGTCATTCATCTAAAAGGGAAATACTACTTCAATGGGTAATTGTTCAAAAAGTAAAATTACCAGCAGATGAAATGTCTGTTAAGCCACACTGATGTCGGAGTTTAGTGGGAGGCATTACGGACATGGGTTCCTGATGCTTAAAAAACAGTGAGTGGCACAACTATTTAATTTCAGTGCTGGTCTGGGGAAAGGTTGCATGTTGTAAAGACCTAACTTAGAATTAAGATAGAATCACGGCGTGTTTATTGTTTCAGTTCTGAGGTTCTTGCATCGATCGAAAATATTATCCAAGACATAATCACAAGCTTGGCAAGAAACGAAGCACCTGCGTTCATGATAGAAAACAGATCGACCTGGGGAAACATAAAGTGAGCATTTTGCATTTTTTATATTTTTGAATGCAGTATCTATGTCATTATTTGAATTCACTGAAATTAGAGCTCTCATCGGATTTTTTAAGTTACTTTTACCCCTGCCAAAAAGGATTTAAGGGATTTTACAATATATGTACCATATTGGCTGGTTAAGTAAACTAGAAGTAGGTGCAAAGATAAGGCACAGGGAAAGCAATTCTAGGAAGAAAGAATAGAGCTCCGGAAGAGGTTGGGATTCAAAATGCGTATGATAAAGTCTTACAGTCCTGCTAAAAATAGGCTCCCAACTTAGATCTAAGCTTTCCAGCACTCAAAGGGGAATTTTCATCCATATCGAGAAAGCAGACCACTTGTTCTGGGGGCCTACAACCGATCCTGATATGGAGACGAAGATAAATGGGTCCTGAACACAGAGCACGTTCCAAAGGCTCTTTCTCCTAACAGGTCTTCCCCTGCTAAGTCACGTGTCCAGGAGGGTAAAATCAGCAAACAGCTTAATCAAAGTCCTGGAACCTGGTTACGTAGTTTGTTTTTCTGAGCTCCTCAGCCTGTAGAATCTTTCCATTAAATAATGAAGAACACTGCAAAAGTAGTTCTCCATGAAAGTCATACAAACAGAATGAAAGTAATTCTGAGGCTGAGAGTATTCTTCTATGATCCATATAACAAATATAAAACCTAACCTTTTGGATCATATTTTTGCTTGGTGTTTTGCAAGATGGATTGCAACAAGCCTGAAGCCCCTGACAGCCGGCCTGTTTGCCTGGTGCCTTCTGCCCCCTTTGGGACAAGCTTGGTAGTTCACTGTAACAACCTGGTAGAAATTATTTCATGTAACTTGAGAGGTAAATCAGAAATTAAATATTTCAAAACTTATTAAATTGAGTAAATTCATTGAGTAAATTGTTGAAATTAGCAAAATGCTAATTGTGAAATATTTGAAAATAGTTTCACATACACTAAATGTCTTCCCAGGAAACAGACACACACACATCATAATCAAAGGTCTATCATTCACTTATTTTAAACACTTTCTTTTAGTGCCTTTATATGTCACAACACTAATTACCCAAATGTCACCTGGAGTTATCTAAGCTCGAAACCTAGGCTATCCTAAAGCGTTAACGCTTACATCACATAGAAATGACTTGAATCGTGCAGAAGAGGACATTGGGTGTATATTGTTTGAATTCCAGAAACTAGTTGTTTTTCATTTTACCCCCTTGCTTTAAACAAAACAACAGGTTTGAAGATTCTGTGGGTCTTCAGATGGCGCCTCACTGCACCACAAGAAAGATCAAAAGTGATTCGCCAAAATCAGTTAGGAATTTTGGTAAGTCAGTCTTTCTTAGCTTTTGGTAATAAATGAATTTGGTTACTTTCAGATTTTTGTTATTCTTGGTCAAATAATTTTACTTGTTTTTTAATAAAACACCATCATACTTGAAATAAATTTATAGAATTTTGTATTGTCATTAACCATGGAAGTACATTGTAATTCCAAAGTAAATTTTCAAGGTACATGATTCAGTGGAAAAATATTGTCTTAGTTTTGCTGTTCATTGAGCAATAATTTTACCTGATTCTTCAGGCAATTATATTCTGTACTTAACACTTCTGTTTTGGAAAGATAATTAGATAATTTTTGTAATGTTATGGAAAATAACTAGTGACTGTTAAATTTTTTGAATTAGAGAAATGATGAGTAACTCATTTATTGCATCTTATTTTCCAGCTCTAATTCTTAAAATACTGTCTATGATTTATAAACTAGTACAGAGCAACACTTACGCAACCAAAAGGTAAATGTATTGTTCTGGTAATTTATTCTGTAAAATATAGTGTGAGGCCTGGCTGGTGTGGCTCAGTGGATTGAGTGTCGGCGTATGAACTGAAAGGTCACCAGTTCGATTCCCAGTCAGACCACATGCCTGGGTTGCAGGTCGGGTCCCCTGTTGGGGGATATAAGAGGCAACTGCTCAATGTACCTCTGATACATTGATTTTCTCGCTCTCTCTTTCTCCCTCCCTTCCCCTCTCTGTAAGGGTAAATAGATAAAATCTTTAAAAATAAATAAATCAGTAATTTAAAAAATGCAAGATTTAGCTAGATTAACTTCCACTATGTGTTTTGAAAAGTTGCGTCCAACTAGACTGTGGGTAGTAGATACTTTTACCCACCGATAGATTACTGTGCGTTTCATGTAGTTAAAGCTTTCTCCAGGTACAGCTGCAGCACCTGGCATGTTCAAACAACGTGCCTGATGGAGTTTTGAATTCTCACAGAGACATCTATTACACTGACAGCCAACTCTTTGGGGATCAGGCCACTGTGGACAGCACCATCAACGACGTCTCCTGCATGCTGAAAGTGCCCAGGAGGTGCCTGCACATAGTAGGTGGCGTGTAATGCCAGACGTCTCCTTTGAGACCTAGTGCCTGTATAAAAATTATAATGGGAAAATAAATGTGACCTGTGCCTTTTTTTGATATTTTTGATACTATATTTTTCTCACTGTAAATTTAAATATCTATTTTCAGTATTTCTCTGGAAGAATGGGACCAAAATAGATGAATTACCGAATATTTTTTATTTCTAAATATGCTTACATATTTTCTCCTTTATTTCTTAAATTACAAACTAAGCTAAAAGTACATATATTCTAGCAAGTGCACCTGAGGAATGACTCTGCAGCATAAAATATATTTGTGACAAAGTTTTCAAATATGTCTCTCTTTCTTAGTTATCTACATCAAAAGGTCTAATCGCCGGCAACCTGAGGTACATGGAGGAAGACGGCACCAAAGTGCACTGCAGCTGCGCGACAGTGAGTGGCCTCGGCTCACGCCCGTGGGCCCCCTTTCCGGCCCCGCGTTGAGGAGCGTGCTCTGTTCCCGGCTTGTTACGTAGTGTGGAGCTTGAGGTTATAAAATAAAGCCGAGGCACACATAGGTATAGGAATAAGTAAAGTTTTAAAATGTGCCACTTGTCCAGTGTCACTGAAATAAATGCACACATTTCTTTTAAAAATGGACTGTTGTTTTCAGGTCGAGAGTGGCTTGGTCATTTTAGCATGGTGGTTTAGGTAATCTTTAGTTTATTTAGGTAAACGTTCTGGTTCTGGCCCTGGCTGCTGTGGCTTGCCGGATTGAGTGCCATTCTGAAAATCAAAGGGTCACTGGTTTGATTCCAGGTCAGGCCTGGGTTGCTGGCCAGGTCCCCAGTAGGAGGCCTGTGAGAGGCAGCCACGCATGGATGTTTCTTTTCCTCTTTCTCCCTCTCTTCCCTTCCCTAAAAGTAAATTAGTAACAAAATTTCTTTTTAAAACTTTCTGGTTCTGAAATTAATATGCCTAAAATTAAACTATTTAGCTCAGCTTTGGTACGTGGGAGGCCCGCAGTACCAAAGGAGCGGTGTGAACAGGGCCGGCCGCCGGTTTGGAAAGGGGCGCACAGTGCGGAGCCTGCGAGGCCCCTGCTCAGGGGAGTCGGTCCCCCCCCCCCGTTGTCACCTGCTGGGCAGTGGCTGGGGTCTTGTGTCTGTTTTCTTACTGAAGAATAAATATTTCCTGGTGTTTTCATACTGAGGCGTAAACCTCTGATGGCAGGTATATTTTTTTATAAATGAAAATACAGGGTTTTTGTGATAAATTTAGAAATGTGGTTATACTTTCATTTTATCTAAAATAAAAACTGTCTTGTTTTGTTAATTAGGCTGTTGCTGTACCATCTAATATTCAAGGAATCTGGAGTATCCTTTGAATGGAAAAACTATTTAAATTCCTGGAAGGTTCATTCACTCGTTATTGTGATAAGCATTCTGTATGTAACCACCAAGCTAGACCCTATGGTGGCCAAGATACACACGCCGTGGTCCCTTCTGTGGGATTCTTTTACAAGCTCACCATGTGGTAGTAAATATCTGTTACATATTTCAAGGGAAAAATGAAAATACTGTATCTATAGCTGCTTTAGAATTGATCTAGATCTATTGATCTAATTGATCTATAGAATTATTTAGTTGGTTAAATTGAAATACTCTTGCCTTAAATTTGTCCACCTTAACTTTACAGATTTAATTACAGATGCAAAATTTCTATTAATTGTAGAAAAAGATGCGACATTTCAGCGACTGCTAGATGACAACTTTTGCAGCAAAATGTCTCCGTGCATCATGGTCACGGTATATTATCTATCTTTACTACAACTCCAAGACTAATGTCATTCTCTGGCGACTCATACGAGCGGCCTATGATGTCATCTCTGTTGCTCAGATAACATTCTTTTGTCAGTGTGATGCATCCTTTGGGTCATAGACAAGAATTTCTGAGGTGTCTATTTAATCTTTTTAATTGATTTTTTGAGGGTAGGGGAGAAAGAGAAAGGGAAACATTGATTTGGGGGGGGTGGTCCCAGTTATTTCTGCACTTGTTGGTTGCTTCTGGGTATGTGCCCTGACCAGGGATCAAACCTGCAACCTTGGTGTATCACGATGACATTCTAACAAACTGAGCTGCCCAGCCAGGGCTCAGATATGTTTATTTATTTAAACAGACTCAAATCTGATCAAAGTCAAGGTCAGGTGGCTCAGTCGGTTGGAGCATTGTCCCATACACCAAAGGGTTGTAGGTTTGATTCCCGGTCAGGGCCCATACCTAGTTTTGGGTTCAGTATCCAATCAGGGTGCATATGGGCGGTAACCCGTTGACATTTCTCTCTCACATCAATGTTTTCTGCACTCTCCCTCTCCTCTCTCTCTAAAATGAGTAAGTGTATTTAAAAACGTTTAAATCGAGGCGATGGACCTGATCCGTAAACACCAGCAATTTCCTAAAACCACCGTGAGGGCGTGTGGGCTTCAGGTGCCCCCGCGCGGCCTCCCCAGAGTGCCACGTGTCTTGCCGTGGTGTGGTGAGAGCGGGGAAGTGCCCTTGTCTGCCTCACTCGGGTTGGCGTGTGGGTAATTTCAAGTCCATCAAAAGGAGCCTGCTGTTCTGAAAAACAAGTGTTCAAAGACCACCGAAGAGCAGAGAAAAAGGCACCAAGATACTACACAGGGCACTGCTGGGTCGGTTAGCACAGGGGAGTGCACACGTGTCCTGCCACGGGGGCTGGGGTGGTGGATGACAGGTGCTGGGGTAGGGCAGAAAGTGGTGGGGACAAAGGACGCTTGGGGTGTGGGCGGGTGGAATGATAATTCCCCTGCCTTGTCCTGGCTGGCGCTCTCCTGCTTTTATAGATCTTTGTAAAAACCTAGGTTTAGAAAGGAAAAAAGCTCACTCACTCAAACTTAGCGTGGCTTCCTAGACCCGCAGTTATCGTAGTGACTGTGAGCTGTGCTGTGGAGGCAGGTGTGTGCAGCTGCAGGGGGTCCGGGGAGGCACTCACAGGCGGTCTGGGCTGGGGAGCCAGGCAGGAGGCTGTCCGGGGTAAGGAAGGAAGAGGACTGGCTAAGGAGAAAGACTGAAACGAAGGACAACTGAGGCCAGTTCTGAAGGGCGTGGCGACTCGGGAGGTGAGGATGAGTCCCACGGCCCTGGTGTGACGTGTGGAGCCACACGACCAGTTGAAGCTGCAGGACAAGCAGCAGGAAGGGTCGGTTCTTCGTGGGAGAGTTGTGAGTAGTTTCAGAACAGGAGACGGTAGCGGGGCATTGGGGTGGCGCCTAGTTGGAAGTTGAGACAGAAAGTTCAGACAGAGGCCTCAAAACATCAGAGGTTATCTTTGAACCCCTGAAGTGGTCACTGCTGGGTGCGCTCTGTGGCTCACTCTTCGGCCCGTGCTCTTGCCCTTTCATGCTGTGCTGGGTGGACAGGAAGCCAGTCCGGCAATGCAAAGGAGGCTCGAGGCCAGGACCTCTGTGCAGCCCTGGGGGCTGAATCCCATCTGGTCCCAACGCCTGGGAAGTGCGCCTAGAGCCAGCTCACTGTCAGGTCCGGGCCGAGGAGAGAGCACAGAGGTGGCCGTGCACACGCGGGGGGGAGGGCACAGCCCTGTCCCTCCCCGTCTGTCTGCCGTATGCTGCCTTCTGGCCCTCGCTCCAAGGGGGTGCTGGCAGGGTTCCATTGACAAGTGCCGCTGTCACTCCCGGGACACACCCACAGGCGGCCGTCCCTGGGGCCACCTCTGAAGGGTTAGGTGGGAGGGTCCTGGTCACTGGCCATCCTCGGGTGCCCTGACTGCACCACAGACGCGTCCCCTTTCCCAAGGGAAAAGGAGAGCATGCTGCCGTTCACTGAGTGGTCCCATGTGCCGGACCCCGGGCCCTTTACATAATCAGGGTCCACAGTTACTGCCGCTGGTCACGTAACGACGTGTGGAGTCTCTCAGCCTCTTTATGAGGTAGGCACTATCGTCACCCCATTTGAATGTCGGGGCCCCGGGGCGCAGGAAGATATTTGCCACAAAACCAGGACTGGGACGCAGGGAGGCCAGCTCCACACTGCTGTGCTGCCGTAGCTCCGAGCGGCAGGTGCAGTGATCTTGACTTAAATGAAGCCACGGCCTAAAGAGACCAAGGAGCTCACCCAGTGTCACCCACGAATGATGGGCACAGAGGGAGTTCAGACTCGGAGCCGTGCGACGGGAAGCCCATCCTTAACCCCACTCGCGTCTCCCCCGCCCAGGGCTCCCCTGCTGTCCGCCTTCCTCTCCACATGCTGCAGTGCTCAGGGAGTTGCTTTCCTGTGTGACTGTTCTAACGGCTTCACAGTATTATCCCACCGTGTGGGCTCGTTAATCCTAAATTTTAGCCGGGTGCTCTCCTGAGTGCTTTATAGTTACCAAGTCATTTAATTCCTATGCAGTCTCAGAAGGCGTCATGCAGCCGTGAACCGCAGGGGTCCGGGGTTCGCTCAGGTTCGTGCTGCTGAGCACTGGCAGAGCCGAGGCATCGGCGCAGGCTGTCCGGCCCCACGGCTGGCATGTGTCATGCTACCACCGTGCGGCACTGCCCCTCCGTGTCCCTGTTGAGAGACCGTGGCTGTTTGTAGCTTTTTTGTCGCTTTTAAACAGCGCTGCGGTGAACATCTGCGTAGGTTGGGTTTTTATTCTCACTGAGTCTGCTGAAGTCTGCCCTTGGGCTGGCAGCGCCGAGTCCGGGTGAGTGCGTGGGGGCTTTTGCACCCCAGTGTGCTGTCCGCGTCGTGGGTTTTCCAGCCCACACCTGTCTCCCAGCACCTGCTGCTTTAAGGTGACGGGGTCGACTCTTATGTCATTACTGATATAACGACCTTGTTACAGATCTTGCTCTTCTGGAAGTAAAATGCGTCACCGCAATCTTGCTTTCAGGGGAAGGGAGTGCCCGACCTGAACACCAGACTCCTGGTCAGGAAGCTGTGGGACACCTTTCACATCCCCACGGTCACTCTGGTGGACGCCGACCCGCACGGTAACCTGTCCCTCGTCTCAAAACTGTCACACTCAAATCGTGCTGTGGTTTCGTGACTTTCTGCTCTTAGAGCAGTGCCACGAATATTTTAAAGGAGTATGGTTATTAGATTAAAATGAATGACTACAATCATCTGAGGCAACTGATTGCCATTTAGCCATATTAAACTGAACTGTAAGTTTTCGTTGGTTAACATCCACAAAAATAAAATCTGCAGATGTTAGACTTAATTTGAGAGTGAAAATGATCTAACCTGTAATATACAAGAAGCCTAATTTTAAAGTTAACTCTCTCAACAGGGATAGAAATAATGTGCATTTATAAGTACGGATCTATGGTAAGTACAGGAAAGTATTTTTTTTCCACTCTTGACATATTTTACACTCATTGGGGTTGTTTCTGTACTTACTTACCAGCCCCTAGGAAGTGGAGGGCTCCCAAAGTCCCAGGGGAGCTGCCATCCAGTCTGATGCCCTGCTGCGGTCCCAGCTCCCAGTGTGACCAGTGCCACCTCGGTTGCCAGCGCGGGTTGGCTCTGGGCCAGAGGCTTTGGTACCCTCCACTTTGCGGGAGTAACCTCGGGCCTCCAGGGGCAGTGCAGTCTGGTCACAAACACTCTGAGCCTTATGTGTGGCCCGGATCCCTGCCTTGGCTGGTCCCCTTCCTCCCACCACGAGCACCCATCTCTGCGCTGGGGTCTGCAACTACTGTGCCCCTGTGGCTTTCAAAGCTGGGTCCCGGACCGCAGCACCAGCGTCTCCTGGGCACTCACTAGCCATGCAGATCTCAGGCCCTGTCCAGACCGGCTGAAATGGAATCTCTAGGGATGGCCCCCAGTGGTCCTGACACGTGGTCGAGTTTGGGAGCCACTGGTGTGCCCCTGGAGTGTCCCTGCCATGCGTGTTCAGAGTGGGTGAGAAGGGTGGTGGAGCCCCAACGCCCAGTAGCACATGCGGTGCGAGGGCTCCTCCGCAGACCGTCAAGAAGCACCGTCAAGACGGTCCACCGTCTTCTGGACCGTCAAGTCCAGAAGCACTGTGGGCGGTTTGCACACCGCCGCTGGGAGTCGGCCCAGGGGGCTCTGGGGGCCTGAACTCCTCGTGTTCTTTCTTAATAAGTGGAGATTTGGCTGCAAAACAAGGGTGCCACTCCTCCACCACTCAGCCTTCCCTGATACGCTTTTGCTCTGTCGTAGTCGATGTCCTTCGAAGCCCATAACCTCACCGTTCCCGCTGTTAGATGGCTCGGTCTCCTTCCATCGGACATTAAAAGGTCAGGCGGGTTAGCAGAACTGGGCTGTTCAGAATGATGACTCATTGTAATACATCCCAATGAGCCTCAGAAGTCACTGCAAGGGAGAGCTCTTAATGCTTCCGACGTGCACTGCTTCCTGCGACTCAGGGTCGCGTGGTTGGGCACTCAGTTCACCCCGTTTCTGCTCAGCTCCTGAGGCACCTAAACGGACCCGGTGAACTGGGTGTGCAGGTGGCCGGAGAGCACCTTGTGTTTTGCCTTTACTGTTAAAATATTCTGAAGTTTATTACACGTATACAGTATAAGACGTAGATTATTTGAGAAACATTATTTGACATGAATCAATTTTATATTTAAATTTTTTATTTCAAAAATATCTCAAGATTACATAAAGTTTGGGAACCTAAAGTCTGGTGAGTTGAATATATACATTCATTACAAAAAAAATCCTACATAACGAGGTTAAAATGACCTTCAGATGAACAGCTTTACTTTTGTAGATTATTTTCTGTGCACAGTCACACTTTTCACAAAAACGGGCTCATCCGACATTATTTTGTGATCTTTTTCACACGGTGCAGTGAGGCCACTTCCTGTGTCAATGACTGTGTTCCTCTTCTGTAGCCTCGTTGTCACGTCTTACGTTTCCCAGTTCAAATTCTGGGTGTGCCCGTGTTTGTTGGGCCAGTTGCTCGGGTCAGACGGCTAGGCGGTTTCCAGACCTCTGCTCCGAGGGGCAGAGCTCCGCTGGGCCCTCCTGTAACTGAGTCTCCACCCGCGGCTTCAGTCGGTCCCGCGGGCTGACCCCCTGGAGTCGCAGGGTCAGAGGGCGTGCGCACACTCAAGGTTTAGGCGCCCTCTGGGTGGGTGGTTAGTTTGCTTTCCCTGGAGAGTAGAGCCCGCCCGTCACTTTTATTCACCTCCACTGACGGGACATTTAAAAATATTTTACTGTAGCTTTAGCTGGCCATGAGAACGAACCCAAATGTGCCCGTTCCGGTCCCTCTAGGCTCGCTCGAACTTGGTGACAAGCACGTGCTTCCCGAATGTGGGATGTGAACAGGTTTGGGGCGGTGGCTGCTTCTGACGAAATGAGGGCACAGCAGCAAAGATCTGATTTTTAATTCTTGAGTGTGTGCACTCTGGTGAATCAAAGCTTTGGTTAGTTTAGTGCTTGCTCTGTGTCATGGTCAAGGTCGCTTGGGGAGACTGTGTGAAGCGTTTCTAACGCAGATGCAGGACAAGTGACCTGACCTTTATCAAGGTGAAGGCTTGGAGAGCTCCAGCCGCAACTCATAAATCCATTGGTTCTCTCCAGAGCCACTCCAAATAAACGGGCAACCAAATGGAAAAACGGGGGTAAGCCACAGAAACATGGCTCAAGGGAAGTCCTTTAAGTCCCCTTTCAGTCAGTTGTCACCCTGCCCAGGAGCTGCCACTGGCAAGTGGTCAGAGTTATGGGGACACTGAAGAAGACTTTGACACTGGTGCTGTCCCGGGAAACCCAGTGCTCCTGACTTCAGACGTCCACGCCCTGTGTCCTGGACCTCTCCTGCTCCACGTTTTAAACTCATGTCAAGATAAAGCTACCTTTTACTTTTTAAAATTTGGCACTCGATAGGTATGTGCGTGTGCACACGTTCAGGTGCAAGTGAGTGAAAAATGACAACTCACTTCCACGGCCCAGAACATTCTCCCCGAACACCACGATGTGACTACTTGGGACCCTAAAAGCCCACTCTTAACTCTGTGTCACTCGGCCACACGGCCAGCGAGGTGTTGGGCCTCAGTGCTGCTTCGATGCCCAGAGCCCTGCCTCGGGGGTGCACACGCGGGCTGCTCTTGCTGCCGCCGTCTGTCTGCCTGTCGCCATCCTGCGGGGGTGACGCGAGGAAGAGCAGCCGTTCAGAGCAGACTTCCACGGGGAACTTGGGCACTTGTGGGTCTGGGGAATGCCAGACCTCCAAACTCCAGGACGTAACAGGTGGGTCCGCACTAACTCTCTTGTCTGCGATTTCTGCTATTTCTTGGAATAGTACGGTAAACATGAGTGACATACATGCGACCTTCAAGTTACAGGGACACTGTGTTTTTACTGATTTTTCCATCACTTTTTCTAGGTTAAACATACCCAGAGATAACTTAGTTCCGCTGACAAAACGGGACCAAATGAAACTCGACAGCATCCTAAAGAGACCCTACGTTACTTGCCAGCCATGTTGGAGGAAAGAAGTATGTTTCTTTGTAAAGTTCGAGTGTTGTATGTCTCATTGTCTTTGACTTCAGTGGCACCTAATCACGTATTTTGAAAATATCCTCCTGGAAATTTTATGTGACCAGCAACTCATGTGAGTGCCGTCTGTCTGTACACGGCGGCTGAGACACTGGACCCTGAGTGCTGACAGGCCCGGTCGCGGTGCGGCCGGTCTGCTCCTGCCCTCGTCACAGTGATCAAGTCGTGGTCCAGGGCTGGTCACAGTTCGCGGAGGGAGAAAGACAGACAAAGACCCCAGAATATTCCTGGTTATGGAAGGCATCTACCTCCGGGTGGTCCCCTGATATTTTTAGCTGTTGCAGCTCTAGAACATTCTAGCTGACCCTGAAGACCGTTGCCCATGGTTTGGGAGAATAAACCAAATGTGGATTTAAACATTTGTTGAGTGGACAGAGCTGTGTTAAGGACTCCGGTAGACTGTCCTTTACTTTTATTGACAGATGGAAACAATGGCAGGCTCTAAAGTGAAGGCAGCGATTCAAGCTCTGACCCTCCTGTCACCGGATTACCTCTCCAGGGTGTACCTCCCTAACAAGCTACAGTTTGGAGGGTGGGTGTAAAAACACGTCAGAGTGCATCTTGTGATTTCAGGAGGGTTCTCAGTGTTTTCTGGTAGAAGACACTGTCATAAAAATATGCATTCTTAATTTCACAGAGGTAAAATAATTTTTCATTAATTATATTTTTGTCAAAACAAATGCTGTACTCTAATTTTCTTTAGAAGGCTTTATTTACCCTTCTTTATCGAGAGTGATCTATATCCTGTTCTAAATTATAAAAGACTATGTTATTTTGACTTTTAACTTTTATTTGAAAAAATATGTTTACATGTTATCAAAGTCTACAAAAATATTTTGCTTTCTACAATACAACGAATGTTAAAGCATGAAGTGTCTTATTAGCGACAAAAATAACCACCGGAGCTGAGAGGTCGCAGACGGACCACGGTGTCCAGCGCCTCTCAGTTCCCCCTTCGCCCTCAGCACAGGCCACACCCCCTTCGCTCACTCGTGAAGTCGGTACAGCTTGTTATGGATAAGCAGTCAGGTGTGTGTACTCGTCAGTGCTTGTTCTTTCGTTTTTGAGCTTACTTTTTATTAATAATATATTTACTTGAAAAATTTCTCAAGGGTTTTATCAGTTGTTACCCAAATTCAAGTCTGCTGAATTCTGCTCTAGTTTAGGTTTCTAGAACAAAGGACTTCTCCAGCGTTAAGATTTACAGAAGCCTCAAATTTTATTATTCCCTTCTGTAACAGTTAAGACGTGATCTTTCACCCTCATAAACATATCTTAATTTTTCTAGATGAGTTTGGTGATTTTATTCTGCACTGTTAACAAACTGTTAACTGCCCTGAAAAGTTTCTGATACTTTTGAGCAGGAGATGTGTGTACAGGAGAAGGACCAAAATGTTGGGCCACCTGCTCTATCAGGAGACGTTAATAATAACCACAGGTACCTTTCCGAGAGCTTGTAGGTGCCAGTCACGCCTACACATTATCATGCGAAAGGCCTCCTGGGAAGGTGCACCTGTGGTTTACAGGCGGGAACACAGAACGTCGCTTGTCCAAAGCCTCACAGACAGAATGGGGCTGAGCGTAGACAGTAGTCCTGTCTACCTCAAGAGCGGGACCAGCGACCCAGTGAGTGGGGCCCAGCACAAACTCTAAGTGTAGGGTCCCTTGTTCAGAAGTGATTGAGAATTCCAAGGTAAACATGGCAGAAAATTAAACCAGGCATGGGGCCCTTCTTAGAATGGGACCCTGTGTGACTGCACAGGATGACACCACGGACGGAGCTGGCCCTGCTCTCGAGGTCCTAGCAGCTATTCAACAGGGTGCTGTACCAATAAAAGAAAATATCTTAGGTGATGCAGTCGGTACCGGCATTTTTCTAGTTGTTTTACAAATGTTAATTTCATCTCCACAGAAGCCCTATCAGCTAGGTAGTTTCCTCATCATCTTTATTTCACAGGCAAGGCAACAATGGTACATAGAGGTGACGGAGCTCTACCAATTGTTAAGATTTGTTCCCCAAAAGCATTACTGTAAAACTGACAGGACTGCTAAGCAGTGGAGCTGGGGCTTAAACCCCCAGTCTGGCTCCAGAGCTCACGCTTCAGCCTTGGCGCTGGTCCACGCGAAGTGCTGCGTGTGGCCGGTGTGCACCCTGCCCGCAGGTCTGCATCCCTGCCGTTGGGGATGGGCCAGAGCAGGGCCCCCCCGTGCCAAGCCCGTGCTGTCAACTGTGTGGTATATTCCCTGGGCACATCAGCACTAAATACTTCATTCTGAGAACATTCTGGTGTACCGTTAACTTGAGTGACTCGTGAAACTACCTGAAATTTGAGAAAATTTTTATAAATCATAATTTTTTGTTTGAATTCATACCATTCATCTTCCACTAACATCTAATTATATCATTAAACTTGGACGAGTTTTGTAAATAAGATGACTAACTTGTGGGTAAGCCGCAGAATCTCTGGCTCAAGACACATTGCCAAAGGGGGCGGTGAGGAGTCGGCCATGGTCACTAAAACGGGAAAAAGGCTCGCGGCAGCATTCAGTGGGACAGGTAAATTCACCTCAGGTTTATGATCGGAATTTGCTTTCAAAATCTTCATTTATTTGGAAAATTAAAATGGAAAGAAAAAATACACTATAGTTTGACATTGCTACCCATCTTTATCAGACGCAGATGAAAAGTTAATGTGAGTAGCTATTTGGGAGTCATCTATAATTTTAATTCTTAAGATTTGTTCCCCAAAAGGATTACTGTAAAATTGGCAGCTATTTAAAATGACAACTGACAGCAGACATCCCCTCTAGCACCATCATCTGTATTTTAACTATTTCCATCATTTTAATCAAGAAAGAACATTTGAATTGGAATCTGTTTATAATTAAAGTAATAAAAACTCATGCAACAAAAAGATGATCAGAGAATCTTTTTTCCTTAAAGGCTCATAATCACCCTAGTAAAAGCTCTGTGATATGCTCACATTTCAGAGAAATGTAACTGTCATTGCTGATGATGCTAAGTGGTTTCAGAAGTCATGATTTCATGGGAAAAACACATATTGCACTTTCTACAAAGTAGGCAAAGAACACTCCCGGATTCCCACAACTTCCTTTTGTGAGACTGTCTCCGCTGAACAGTTTGATTGTAGGTACCTGTTCAGTGGTGCTGAAAAGAAAATACTTTCAAACCTAAGCCGCATGTGCACGTGCCCTAGAGTATTTCCAAAGGTACCTTCTGTCACCAGTAAAGATTCACAGCCCAGGAAGATGGTCCTGCAAAAACAAGCTGAGGTCGCCCTCTGCTGGCAGAAGCTCTACTGATCTCTCAAATCCTGCCACCGTTTGCGGTGGACACTTCCATAAAACATTTTCAGGTCATTGTATTAAGGAACGGGCCGAGAGTCTGAGGCACAAAGAAAGAGGCTGGGGAAACCCAGGGTTTGCGTGTGAGACTGAGTGCTGGACAGGGGTCCGTTTCGAGTCCCCAGCTTTGGACGCCCCCAGTTCCTTGTGAAGCTGCACATAATGTGTGCGTCCTTGCAACTCCGCTCTATACAGAACCTTAAAGTTTTTAATTGAAGTTTAAGAATTAAAGATCATTTCAAATAGAAAGGAACTGATACAAAATTACAAACATTCGATTTTCGTTCACCCAGCAATGGAATATAAACCGTGCAGTCATTCATAAATATCCCCATGTAAAGGGCCTACCAGTGTCAATAGCCATCACCAAAACATTTTAATTTTTTATTTTTAATAGTTTTTCACCAGTACTCTATGGCTCAATAGTCAAACCCAGGGGTACAGACTGTGGCCATCCCCCATCCTGGCATCTCTGGGGGTGTAGAGTCAGATTTGGGGGATAGGCTGCTTGCTTCCCAAATGCACCACTTTCACAGTCTCTGGCTGGGACGAGTGACCACCTGGCCTTGGTTTCACCACCATAAAATGGGGTAACAATAGTACCTATCCTATAGGGTCACTGCAATGATTACATGATATAATTCATGAAAAGTGTATGTTTGAATAATAGCCTTAGGAAAGAATGGGGGGGTTAGTTATCACGTTTGGGTGAATGCACTGTGGCTATTCCTCCACGGGTGGGTTATGCAAATGTGGTTTGTCAATTAGAGCCCCAAGCAGCAGGAAAAGTTTTAAAAGTATGCTGGATCATCAGTACTATACAAGAATCTGTATCACCATAGATGCTTTTGAAAGATGCGTTGTGCATAGAGCAGGATCATTCAACAACTATCAACACCAAATATATGTAACACGCTGTGCTTGGTGCTGCAATGAGGTATACGTGGGAGTAAGACTCAACGCCCTAGGCAGCCAGACGAAGCTGGCACACTGTTTTATGGGGCTGAATATGATAAGCACTGAGCTGGCTTTGAGAAGGTTTTGAGAGGGTAAGGGAGGGATGGTACAGATGACCCATTCGGGAAAGAATGAGGGAAGGTGTGGTTGAGGGGGAGGACTTGTCAGAGAAGATTCTGGGGTTTTGCAGGTAGACCAGTAGACACAGCGCAAGTTCATTGGCTTTACTGCTTAGCTGCGTTTTCTTTGCCAAGTCACAACACCTCTCTCAGCCTCACTTTCCTTTTCTATAAAACGGAGATTATTACAATAACTGGTAGGGCTGTTTTGGAAATTACAGGAGAGGAACCATCTATCTAGTGCTTCAAAGAGCTATAATCATTAGACGAGAGGTTCTCAATCTTGGCTGCATCTAACAATCTCTTAGGAGCTTTCTGAAAATATTAATTCCCTCAGTTTCATCCCAGATCATCTAAATCAGAATCTGAGCTTTTTAAAGCTCCCTTAAAGCGATCCTAAATACCCGATCTAGCTCCTGCGGTGCGTGGCCCCACAACCCCAGCTGGGAGTTTGCTAGAAATGTGGGCCTCTCCGGAGGATGGAGTTGGATTTGAATTGGCAGCAATAAGAATTTTGCTTGACTTTTCACTCACAAAACACTACCCTCCACCAGCTTGGGCTGCGGATTTTTCAAAGCGATCGCTCTGCCAAAGGCAGTCGGCTACAGAAACTTTTGACCAATCCGCAAGCTGCTGGCAATAGGATAGCCGCTCAACATCAATAGCTCTTGTGCGCATGTGCCATTCCCTCGCGGGAGGTGGAGCCTTCTTGTTTCTAGCTTTCCGGGCGACACAGGAAGTGGCTCTGCGGCGCATGCGCGAAGTCTCCACGGTAATCGGGGGCAGTTTCCTCCGCCGGCGTGGGGAGATCCAGGGCTGCCAGAATTCTTCTTCGCGTGATCTCGCCCTCGTTTCCTTCTCGCCCGAGACGCCTCGCAGGTTCCCGAGCCCCTCCGGCCCCCGCAGTCCGCTTCTCGCCGCAGAGAGACTCTCAGGTAGCCCCCGTGCCGCCTCCCCTCGTTACCCGCCGCCATGGCGCAGCCAAGGCCGGGTGCCCCCTGGCGAAGTGTGCTCCGCTGCGAGCTGGCCTGTTGAGAAGCTCCCTTAGTGGTCCCTTGAAATGACGTCAAGGCTGGCAGGGGGCCTTAGCGGTCACCTTCGATTCAACGGCTTCGTTTCTCTCGTGGGGAAACTGAGGCACCGGCAAGGGCCACAGAGTTGATGGCAGCGTCTGTTGCCTCGAAGCCATAGTGCTGGCTTTTCATCAGACACGGGCCACCTCGGAGACGTTACCTTACCGTCTTTACCCAGGGTCCCCCTCTTTTAGCCCCTCTCACTTCACCCCGCCTGACCCCGCCCCCGTGGCACTTACCACCGTCTGAAACTGGGTCTGTCTTACTGTTTTCGTCTTCCTCTAAAAGGTATTTATTACGTACACAGACGCTCGGCCCCCTAGCAGGTATCTCTTAATTACCAGCCGCCCCAGGTGTGCTTTAGGGAAGACCCAGACAGGACTCTGTCCCTTTGCAGCTGCGGTCCTGGGAGAGGGATTGAGGAGATTCGGGATCGCGACAGGTGCTGTGAAGGAAAAAGGGGGTGGGGGCGGTGATCGAAGGTTGGGTATGTTAAATTAGAAAGATAGAGAAGCCTCTGAGGAGGTGATGGTTTTTTTCTTGTTTAAAGATGCGTCTAAGAACTTCATTGTAAGTTACACCAATGTGTACATTTTGATGAGTTTGGGGGAGTTTAATACAGTTGTGTGAACATCCCCACGGTGCAGATTTAGAACATCTCCATTGCCTCAAAAAGGAGGCACTTTGTAAACCAGAACCTGAAGACCCAGACTGAGAGGGCTGGAGTTTGGGGGGAGGGTGAAGTATTACAGAATAGCCAGCAGGAATGCCCCAAGCCTGCCATGAACCCGCTCTGTGTTCAGAGTCTCTTCAGGGTTGGGAAGGAAGCCAGCAGGGCTGGTGTGGGTGTTCCCGGGAGCAGAGTGGGAGGGGATTGGGTGGTAGGAGGTGGAGGGGGGTCTTTGAACTTTCTGAGGTCCCCAGTGTCCTGCGTGCCTTGCACTCCACACAGGCTGATAAATGCTGGGATGGCCTGGGCTCCTTCCTGATGGTGGAAAGGCTTTCTCCCATCTGGATAGTGGAAGAGGGGGAGGAACAGAAGTAACACGTTCTAGGTGCTGTGTGTGCTCATTTAGTTTCCACAGTCCCCTGCCGTGGATACTGCCGACTTGTTTTCATGGGTGAGAAAATCAGGGCTAAATAACATGGCCGAAGCCACGCAGCAGGTTCCTGGACTCTGACTGCAGAAGCCAGGCCGTCGCTCTGCTCATTTGGTCCAGTGTTAACCGGTGGTCCGAGCACACCGCTGACATTTAAGGCATAGGGAGCTGGCAAGCACCTGTCCTGTCCCAAAGCCACCTTCTGAGATAGTAATGTACTGGGAGCTGTTGCTTTTATCTGGTATGTCTGCACCTGCTTGTTACTTGAAGCTCAGGAAACTTAAATGCCTTTCCAACGGGGGTGTCCAGCCAGCGGCTGCATGAGGCTCAGGACGGCTGTGAATGTGGCCCAACACATAATTGTAAATTTGCCTAAAATAAATTCTTTGCTCATCAGTTTTCGTTAGTGTTTGTGTATATAACGTGTAGCCCAAGGCAACTCTTCTTCCAATGTGGCCCAGAGATGCCAAAAGGTTGGACACCCCTGTCCCCAAGATCCCTAGTGGTTTCCCATTCTGTGTTGCGTCTTCAGAGCCGCTACCCTTGTTAGTGAGTATGTCACTCAGCTCCGTGGCTGCTCGGGGTGAGGTGACTGACAGGGCAGAGTCCTTGGTTTAGAAATTTGCTGATGACAAAATTGAAAATGGGGCATCAACATATGTGGGTCATCAGGGAGTTAAAATACACGGCTGGTCTCCTTGAAAAGGAAAGCCGTCTATTGTGCCCTCTGGGTGACACTGCGCCTTCTACACACATAGTCTGACTCGATCCCCAAGAGTCCCCCGGAGAAAGGGTTAATGTTTTTTTGTGTCTGCAGAGCAGGGAAGTAAGGCCTGGCGAGAGCAGGGGCCAGTCCCTGTGGGCTGACTGAAAACTCAGAACAGGGGGGCGGGTTCCTGCTGGTCAGTGTCCACACATAATGCAGGACCTTCAGTGCTCAAGCAGAACAGAGTGGGTCACTTTATAAAACTCCCACAAAGAAGTTGCTGAATTGCAGCCAGGACTGGTTGTTTTGTAAGGAACTTCGTGTGGAGATACTGACCTAAAGCAGCGTGCAGAGATTAATGAGAAGACAGTGGACTCTGAGTGGGAGAACGGGACCGTCTGCTGGTTCGCTGCTGGGTCCGTGGCGCTCAGCTCGGCATCTGACTGCAGAGCGAGAGCTTATTCTGTCCCTGCCGGCGGGCAGTGCTGTGCCACGTGCTCCTGCCAGCGCTGGTTTGTTCACAGTGGCACATGTGGGGCGGAAACTAGGGAGCTGGGGGTGGGGTGCATGGGAAGTCTCCTGTCCTTACAATTTTCTGTAAACCTAAAACTACTCTAGAATAGTTTATTTTTAAAAAACACCCTGCTTAACACATTAGATCTGTTGAAAAAGAGAGACCTGGCATCAAGCCATTTAGCCTGGTTCCCTTCTGTGCCTCAGCCTTGTATTACCTCTCAGGTGTATTTATTACTGAAGACAGCGCTTGGCCTTAACCGCTTCCATTACTTTCTCAGGGCCAGCATGAGCCTGTTTGGAACAACCTCGAGTTTTGGAACCAGTGGGACCAGCATGTTCGGCAGCACGACCACTGATAACCACAACCCTATGAAGGTGCCGCAGCGGGCTTCCCGGGGTTTGTGCAGAGAGTTCAGCTAGAGCCGCCCACGGCAGCGACAGCCGGGGGGCCTCCTGTGGGGTGAAAGCTGTGGAACTTCGTCTGGCTGCTTTCGCAACCACCAGAGCACAGAAACTGTGTGTCCCCTGCACTAGTGTCCCGTCACCCCTGCCAACCCGATCCCCAGAATCACCTGTGGTGCTGGTTAAAACCGCAGGTTCCCGGGCCCAGCCCCCACTGCTGGGGGGGAGTTTCTGCGGGGAAGGAGGGCAGGCGAGAGCGCCGACGGGTTCTGGGGCTGCCGTGCGGAGACACGGCCGTGCCCGTGGCTCCCTGCCTTCCTCGTCTCTCGTCGCCCTTTGGATCAGAGTAATACACGTCAGGTTCAGTTCGTTGTGGGGCACAAGGGAAGTCCACCGGGCTGGGGGGCTGTTAGTGAGGAAGAAGCCCCTTCGGCATGGGACTGGATGATGCACACGTTTTAACGTCGACCTTTCCCCCAGGACATTGAAGTGACGTCCTCTCCTGACGACAGCATCGGTTGTCTGTCCTTCAGCCCACCCACCTTGCCGGGGAACTTTCTCATCGCAGGATCGTGGGCTAACGACGTAAGTGCGCCCTCAGTGTGTGCCCTGTGAGTCTGGGCAGGGCTCGCTTTTCTTTTTTGGGGGGGTGGGTAGTGGGTGGGGCAGGCGCTGCATCCTCCCCCAGGCAAAGGAAGCCGAGTTGGGACTTACCCGTGGTGACCAGTGCAAGAAAGAAGCACAGACACTGGACGCGGGGTGTATGGGACCTGTCCCGTCTTACAGTTTTCTGTAGAGATACTTCAGTATATTTCCAGTCAATCAGTTAGTGGGGGTGCAGCCTTCCTGGTGGGCAGACACCACTTCTCGGCTCCCTGAGTTTTGCCAGGAGAGCAGGATCAGGTGCACGGGCCAGAAAGGCCTCCCGTGGCCCCTGAGCGGCCACTGAGGAGGGCATACGGGGGACTAAAAGGCGATGTAAAAATATGCCCTGAGGATTAGGTTAAATACGAAGAGAGAGAGGGGCGGGTGTCGGCACACCCAGACTCCCCTGCCAGGCGTCCCGCAAGCGCGCTAGGCGCGTGGCGAACTCTTAGACGCAGTGTAGATTCTGCGTGGACACTGTGCGTCTGTTGTGTACAGGAAAGACAGACAAAAACTCTGGCAGAAAAGTAAGCTAAGGATGTGAAGGGACACAAGGGGAGTTCGTGTAGCCCATTAAACTTGAACCATGGAGCCACACTTACGAGTGTGAACCACGGGTCACGCTTGCTTACAATCAGGTCAACACACATTTATGTGATAGACTTGACTTATCTATCAAATTCGCAAAAGCAAAAAGCTGAAAGGAGTTACACTTGGTGCTGATGATAACGGCTGAACCCTTCCATGGGTTGTTGGTAGGCCTGTAGATTGGTAGTTGGCAGTATTTCCCAGAAATCCTATGTTCACACCCTGGGTCTCAGTGGCCCCCTTCTGAGGCTCGAGGGTCCTTGCTCCCAGCCGCTGCCTGACGCAGCCTCATTTAGAAAGGGCCCCTTGCAAGGAGGCTTCCGGAAACTGGTATCTATGCCGCGTCCCAGTGATGAGTGCCGTTCTCAGAGAGTCTGGGGAAGTTTCCGCAGGGGGGCGGGCAGCGGGGCAGCGAGCGAGGGCAGCAGGGAAAGTGGCGGGGGTGGGGGGCAGTCAAGGTTGAGCAGGGGTGGTTTCTGCATGGAGGTTTTGGAAAGACTGTAGTTGACTCTCCGCCAAGAAAACGTAAGGATATTTATTGGCACTGAATGTAAGTGAGGGAAGAAGCAACTATCAGTACAGAAGGGAAGACACTGTATAGTCTCCATCTTTGAAGAAAATAGTATGTGCGCAGAAAGACAGGGAACACACCGCTGTCAACTAGCGATTGGTGGGATTTCTTGTCGTATTCACAAAATCTCCAAGTAAGATGCATTACTTTTGTCATTGGGGAAAATGACAAAAAGTCAAAGTAAAGTGATTGAGGAGCACGGAGCGTTTCCATGTTGGCCTCAAGGCTCTGGGTGCTCTCGGACGGCGTCCGTGCCGACAGGTCGGCACGAAGCGGCGTGAGAAGAGTGTCCACGGTTTCGGGTGGAAGCGGAAGGACGCGTTCACTTTAATGGCTTAGAAGCAGGAACAGGGAGATAGCCACCTGTGTGTACGTTTCGACTGCTCTGTCCTCAGTGGGGGAGGTGGGCCGATGGCAGTCCGTCTGGACCCCGGTGGGACCCCTCTTGCGCGGCTGTGTCTGCATTAACCCGTCTCCCTGCCGCAGGTGCGCTGCTGGGAAGTTCAGGACAGCGGACAGACGATCCCGAAAGCCCAGCAGATGCACACGGGGCCCGTGCTGGCCGTCTGCTGGAGTGACGTGAGTGGCCCGCTTTCCCGTCGTCTGCGCGAAGCCCGGTGCGGTTCAGAGTGCTTGTACGCTTCTGTTTCTGCGCAGCCCGGACACGGCTAGTGCGTGTGTATACACGCTGGAGGAGGAATCCGGAGTTCCTGAATGTAAAGCTAGGATGTTATTAATGTTCCCAGTGTAGCCTGTGTCGGCTTAGTTAATCTCTGTGCAAGCTTTTCCTACATAAAAAATCCACTGTTTTGTTGACCTGTTACCTGGAACAAAGGATTTTCCTTAAAGCCTTTCCTGTTTCTTGGTGTCCCATGAGCTAATGTTGCTTTAAACTTAGAGCTTTACACTCTTGGGATAAATCCTAGGAGGAAAGAGCCCGTCCTTTTATTAGACATTTGAAGTCACTTGGGTTTGGGATTCCATTTTCCCTCCTGACCATGGGCTACCTAAGCAAACGTGTTTGGGGTGCTTTTTGCTGTTTTGTTACTGATTGAGGAGAATTTACAGGAGGTGAAGGAGGGGCGGCCGGCCACAGAGAGCTGCATGGTGCCACCCCCAGTCCCCTGTCAAGGTGGTTGACAGGCCGCTCCCCGCCTTCTGTTCCACCTGGTGGCTGAGGCAGGGAAGCGGGAGAACGGGCCCGGCTGGCGGTCAGAAGTGGTAGGTGTATCGGCAGGTAGATGAAAACGGTTTGAAAAGTGACGTGTTCACTCCAGATGTAACTTACTTTTAATTTATGTGTGGGAAATTTAACTTCTAAATTAATTTGCCTGTCTTTCTTTACCAATTGGATGATGGGTGAGAATTTTCGATGTTCTTGGGACGTGTGGGAAGAAGAGTGAACTGACCTGAGAATTCGGCTGCCCGGTGTCACCGCATGGCCACTGGTGTTCACATGGGGAACGCAGCCTACCCCCGGCCCCTGCAGTGAGCTCAGCGTGCGAGGGGGGACTCGCACTCAGGACGAGGGGCCAGTGCAGCCGGCTGCTCCGGAGTCTGGGTCTAGGGGGCACCTGCTCTGGGGGTGGGGTGGGGGGCGTCTGGCTGCCGTGAAGGCTTCGTGGGGGCAGAATAGAGCTGGATGTGGAAGGAAGACGGAGCCGTGGGCTCGTTGCCTTTGAGTGTTGTCCCATCTGGGCTTAGGTTCGAATCCCGCCTCTGTCTCCTCCGGCTTTTTGACTTTGGCAGGTCACATAGTCTCTGTGTCCATTTCCTTAAGTACGAAATGAAGGCGATGATTACAACAGAATAGCGTTTCACTCAGGGCGTCATTACCGGCCCCTGGAGTTTGCTAAAGGGCTGGGCGCAGCAGGTACCGGGGTAGGCAGGGCGGGCGAGTCCTGCGCTCCGGGACCGGCACCGCGGCGGCAGGAACGGGCGAGGGTTGGGAGTGCCGGTTGTGGAGGTCTGTGTGTCTGGGTTAGAACTGCGCCACTGACTGGCGTGGTGCCCACTGACAGGTGACAAGGGCGATCGGCGATCGCAACAGGAGCCCGTGGGCCACAGGCGGCTGTGGCTTCTGTGAACTGGCTCGGAACCGCTGCACCGGCTCCCTTTGCAGCTCACGGAGCCCGCGTTCGGGCCGTGCAGGCAGAGCTGAGGCCCCGGAGGGCTGCGAGGTCTGGGGTGTTCAGGAGATAGCAGTTCTTCAGGACAGAAGTTGCTGACCGCTGGTCTAGACTTGCCCTTTGGCGCCGTTGCTTTTTATTGAGAAGTGTCTTGGGCGGCTTCGTGTCTGACTGGCCTGCTTTGAGTTCTGAGCGTAAGTGCTTTAAAAACCGTCTCCCAAGGACTGCTGCTTTCCCGGCTGTTCTGTAGCCGACGCAGGGCCACTGGGGAGTGAAAATGGGTGTGTCCTTCGGAACAGTGTCAGATACGGGGCTGGACGAAAGGAGTAATGAGCACGGGTGGGTGTGTGTGTGTGTGTGTGTGTGTGTGTGTGTGTGTGTGTGGAGAGCGCAGGCAAGCAGGGCACGTGAGTGCGACTTGTGACTGTAGGTGTAGGGTTTATGGCTACTTCATTCTTGCACCTTTTCCGAAGGCTTGAAATTGATGAAATTAAAAAACAACGTGACTGGCTCCGGCAACGCACGCAGGTGTGTGCCGCACAGTCCATTCCTGGCGGGCGCACCTCGGCTGCGTGGCTCTGAGAGGGGCTCGGCGGTGGGGTGGGAGGCCAGGTTCCCGTGTGTGACTGAGTGCCCTTCCAATCTGTTTATCCTGTGTACTTGATACCGCTTAGGAAAGTAATCGGGAGTGAAAATGGGGCTGAAAATGTGTTTTGTGTACGGCTGTAGTTTGTAGTGTGGGGGTCCCAAACAATGGGGAAAATAAAAATTGCAGAACAAAACGTGCCTGAATAAGTTTACCCTCATCTAAATACACATACAGACAGATTCTCTCTTTCTTAGAAAGATAAAGTTCTCCATTTTATTTTAGGATGGGAGCAAGGTGTTTACAGCTTCATGTGATAAAACTGCCAAAATGTGGGACCTGAATAGTAACCAGGCGATTCAGATCGCGCAGGTAAGGAGGCCTCGCTCTCTGCACACGGGCCGCTGCCCGCTGCGAACCCTCTGTCACGGAGGGGCGTGCGGCTGGGCCGCCGGCTGGGGCGGACGGACCGGAGTGTGCCCGAAGCCCCCTTCGCGCAGAAGCAGCACCTGCGTCGCACACGTTCGTGCTGTGGCTGGTGCTGCACAGGTGGTTGTGTCCTGTATCTCCCGCGTGCGTGGGGACGAGGGTGGTGTAACCTGAGGAGTTAGAGACATTAAATCTGCACAAGACTGTTACAGGTGGCCCTCAGCATTCACTCGCATAACGCTGCAGCACCCGGGTACTGTCCTTGGGGGCATCCAGCAATGAGGGGTCACTCCCACACGGCTCTGGAGCTGGGTGGTCTGCTCAGGGACAAGGGCAGGTTCTTGTGAGACGTCTGCTAAGAAAGGCAGACACTGCGAAGACGAGAGAACCTAGAACCCGAGGGTCCGACCTGGTGAGGACACAGAGCCGGTTTCGGGAAGGCACGACATGCTCAGATCACGTGGCGAGAAGCGTCTCCCCACCTCTTGGTTCACGTCGTCTGTGTGGGTGATAAAACCCTGGTGGGGTCCCGGCTCAGGCTCACTCTCACGTACTGGCTAACGTTGGGAAAAATCAGCCAGAACGGAAGGGAGGTGTGTGCTTGACGTCACGCCCGCTGTTCTGGCCGTGCCGAAGGGCTCAGACACCCTTCGGGGTCCGTTTGGCGTGACCTCACTATTTCCTGTGACTCCCTCTCCGTGAACCCGCGGAACGGAAGCCCTGGGGCTCTGGTTACGCGCACCTTCACCCGCTCTGGTCTTGTCTCCTCGCAAGCACGACGCGCCCGTGAAGACCATCCACTGGATCAAAGCGCCGAACTACAGCTGTGTGATGACCGGGAGCTGGGACAAGACCCTGAAGGTACACAGCCCCCGGGGAGCCTGCGGCCGGCCCCCACTGGCACAGACTCTGTCCTCACGCTGTCTGCGCTTTTCTGTCCCCAGTTCTGGGACACGCGGTCCTCGAACCCCATGATGGTCCTGCAGCTCCCCGAGAGGTGCTACTGCGCCGACATGGTGAGTGCTCACCCACTGCGCGCCTCCCCCTCTGGTGCACGGGTGTCCTCCTGACTGTGCGCAGCCGGGCGGGGCAGGGTCCTGGGTCAGGCGGCCTCTGCCCGCCCTCGTTCCCAGGCTTCGCGGTTCTGGGTGTCAGTGTCGGGTGCTTCCTCACTTGTCATTGAGTAGACGCCCCCAGTGCCTGACGTGTATTGTGCAGCCTCAGGAAAGCAGGCGGCAGCTCTGTGCTAGATCTTTGGGGGCTGCTCAGTGGGAGAAAAGGGGGGCCTTTCTCCATCCACGTGGTCTTCAGTCCAGAAGGGTCATCCCCGCCACCCTGGTCACTGCACTCACAGAGGTTTGTTGTGAGAGCAGTAAGGAGGCTGATGGTCTCTGTCGTGAGTGACATTGTGAAGCGTTGGAGGTGGTCTGATGGGCTTCGCGACAGACACAGCTCAGTGAGCCCAGGGGAGTTCTGGGCAGTCGCTCGTGCTCTCGGAGTGCACGTTCTGAGGTCACGATATGCGTGGAAACACACATGCATGTGTGCACGTGTGTGACACACAGGGAGGGGAGAGACTGGCGTAAAACATGCCATGATGTCAGCACCTGCCGTCACTGGAAGGGGCGTGTAGGTGACTGTCATGTCTTCTCTGTCCCCAAGTGTGTGTTCTAAGCGTTCGTGCATTCTGTTCTTCCAGAGAATTGAGTCTTAGAAATTCATGAATTTTCTCTTCAAACAGGATTTTATGTTTTCACGAAACATGTTGATATTGTTCATTTTAAACTGAGAAAAATCAGACTTATTTCTATGACTCTCAAAAAACTGACCTAATGCTGTGGTATAACAAGTGCGCCCCTGGGGGGATGGATTCGCTGTGAAAGGCGCAGTCCTTCACTTCACTCATGTCTCTGCTGTCCGCACGCCCAGATCTACCCGATGGCCGTGGTGGCCACCGCGGAGAGGGGCCTGATCGTCTACCAGCTGGAGAACCAGCCCTCCGAGTTCAGGAGGATAGAGTCCCCGCTGAAGCACCAGGTGAGTCCCCGGCCGAGTCGGGGCAGGCGAGCAGCACCCGTCCGGGGCCACGCGTGGAACACGGTGCTGCTTTTAATCGCCTGTCGGTGTTTTCAGAGAGAGTGATGTGCAGACGCAGACACAAGTGTCGAGTGAGTGAGCAGGCTGCACCCTGCATGCGCCCAGCCCACCTGTCCTCCCCAGACACCCCCCGGTAGCTGGATGCTGCGGAGCAGGCGCCCGCCTCAGGGGGCTGGCCCCACTGTCGGCTCAGCCCCACCTTCAGCGGCGCCCTCTGTGCCCAGGCAGTTCCCGGGCTCTCGCCTCCAGCCCTGTCTTCCGCTTGCCACGGACTCGTGGGTCCTCTTCCCTCCCTTCATCCTCCTGGACTCTCCTTCCTTCGCCTGGTCCCAGCAGCTCAGACCAGCTTCCACTCAGGAAGCAGAAGCTAGTGGGGGCGGGGCCTGCACCCGCACCTTTCCCTGCCACTCCGCCCATTAGGTGAAGGCGGCGCCCTCCCAGCACTGGTTTCAGGGTGGGTCCCATGCCACCCACCAGCCAGCTCCGCCCACCTTGTCCGGCTCTCCCTTCTGGGTGCTGCTCCCACTGAAATGTGCCCGAGTCTCATTCAGCCTGGAAAACAGGCCTCATTTGACTCCACATCCTCCTCCAGAACCGCTGGACCCCCTTGCCCTCCAGGTCCTTGGTCTGTCTTCTGTGTCTCCCTGAGGGCTCCCACTGAGGGACACACGACCCTGCTGTGCCGCAGCCTCAAACCCAGAACTGACCCTCAGTGCCCTCTGGGTAAATCCCAAAGTCCTCCATAAAGCCGTCCGGCCTGGCTTCACTGTCCGCCACCGGGCGCCAGCACCTGGCCTGGCACTTGCCGAGGACTTCCGTCCAGCTTCCCCGAGTCACGGTGCACTGTGTTCTTGGGAACCGCACCCCGGTTCTGTGTGCCAGTACGACCCCCCCATGCCGAGCTGGGGGCACTGGCGGGGGTGCAGCTCAAGCAGCAGAGGCTCCCCCTGCACTCTGAGCACTCACAGACTTGTGCCTCTTTTCCTCTTTTTGTTTTTGGTATTCACGGAAGTAACAGGCTTGCTGACTTTTGGTTTTTGTTTTAAAAAGGGCAGATGGCACAAAAAGGGGACTGGTGCACCTCCCATTTCCTGGGACGTTCGCCGCTCTGGCGTTGTCACGGCGCCGCACTGCCCTTGCCCTCCTCTCCTGTGGCTCGGTCCCAGACTCTGCAGATGCGCAGAAGTGTCCGATTTGGGTCAGGGAGGGTGGTCCTCCAGGGCTGTCATGGCTAGAAGGGGGAAGAGGGGGTGCAGGGTGTCCAGGCCCTGCTCCTCTGCCATGGGGGGGCTGGGTCGTGGGCTCTTTTGGGGGGACCTTGCGAGGACTAGGAGCCCAGCAGACCCACCTGTGGGGTCCCAGGCTCAGTGCTGCGTCCAGCGCAGGGTCTCACTTCGCACAACACGTTCCTGGGCCGGAGAGTGCGACCCAGCACCGCCCTTTTCCAGGGGCATAGAACGCTGGGTGACTTGGTAAGGGGTACCCACCCAGTCATTGCCATGTGTCTGTGTCCCTCCCCACCGGGGGCTGGCTCCAGGACAGGCCTGGGGGCTCTAAGGGCACAGCCACCTGCTCACAGCCTGTGGCCCGTGGCTTCTTGTACAAGTCAAAGTCGTGCGTCCTGGAGGGCGAGAGATACCTCTGTGCCGTGTTGAGTGATGCGTTCCTGGTTCTGCAAAACCAGAAACGGGGTGGAAATAATCCACCTTCGCTCGGTCGAGAAGTGTCCCCGTTTACCCGGTGGGAACGTCCTTGTCTTCTTTCCGCCCCGCAGCACCGCTGTGTGGCCATCTTCAAAGACAAGCAGAACAAGCCGACGGGGTTTGCCCTGGGAAGCATCGAGGGCAGAGTGGCCATTCACTACATCAACCCCCCAAACCCGTAAGTGGGACGCAGCCCGTGGGTGGATTTTCACTCGAGAGTGTTTTGTTTTTGTTTTTGTTTGGTTTTTTTTAAAGAAAACTGAGTCGGGCCTTTGTGTTTCAGTGCCAAAGATAACTTCACCTTCAAATGTCACCGGTCTAACGGGACCAACACGTCAGCCCCTCAGGACATCTACGCGGTACGTTTTCAGAGCCTTCCCCTCGAGACCGGAGTGTGTCTAGAAACTAGACTCGGCCGTGGGTGGCTGAGTCATCCTGGGATTAGAAAAGGTGACGGCGCCGGGTGCATTCGCGTCTGGGGGGGATCGGCGGAGGCTGCTGGTTTCTGGTTCTGAGAACCTTTGACTGTCCTCGTTCTCTGTTTTGTTCCCGAATGCAAGCTCAGGGCTTCACTCAGGGCAGCGCCCCCGGTGTGGAGCTGTGGACGGTTTGTGCACGCGGCTCACCCTGGGAAGCTGCTGTTTGCTGAGGGCCCGTGCCTCCCGGGGCCCGTGCCTCCATGACCCTAGCCACACACTGATCAACTTCTGCTGACTGGGGCTGATGCCAGGAGATGGGACTCACTTCTGGGCTGGCGGGTGACCTGGCGTTCCTCCCTGAAGCAGGGGGCAGACTTCTCCGCCCCTGGGTCAGCCCACCTCTCACCGTGGGTGCCGCCCCCTGCAGGTCAATGGAATCGCCTTCCATCCTGTTCACGGCACCCTGGCCACCGTGGGGTCTGATGGTCGATTCAGCTTCTGGGACAAAGACGCCAGAACAAAACTGAAAACTTCGGAACAGTTGGACCAGCCCATCTCGGCTTGCTGCTTCAACCACAACGGGAACATATTTGCATATGCGTCCAGCTACGACTGGTCCAAGGTGAGGGTCCCAGCCTGTGGCCCCTCCAGCACGCAGGGCAGACATGCTCACCGCCACGCTGCCTTCTCTCCTCTCTGGGTGTGGGACACTTGCCCTGGGCCGCAGCGGTCCCTTCATGGAACCTCTGGTCAGAGCTCCTCGTCCCTCGCCTCTCCCCATGCCCCCCCCCCCCGGCTTGCTCTCCAAGGGTGGTCGTCTGGGCCTCACCAAAGGGGCAACAGGTTTGAACGAGTCCCGGCCCCTAAAAGACAAACACGTAAAGATGGTTCCTCAACACAGGACGCTGGAGGCGGATTTCCACCAGGTCCAGCCTTTTCTTCGAGGACCCAGTGACTCCAGCCTCTGGCTTTTCTCTCCATCTGCCTGTCTCGTTCCTCCGCAGTGGGGACGCCTCGTGCCAGTGGTGTGGGCCTTGCGTTTGAAAAGTGCCCACAGAAGGCTGAGTGTTGCTTTTTCATAATGAGATTGTTTTTCTCCCCCTTTAGGGCCATGAATTTTATAATCCGCAGAAGAAAAATTACATTTTCCTGCGGAATGCAGCTGAAGAGCTGAAACCCAGGAACAAGAAGTAGTGGGGGGACTCCGGGGGTCTGCGGCTGTGTTCTCGCCGCTCCGCCTTTTCTGTGCACGACCCCGGGACCCGGCTTGCGGGGGGCAGTGAGCCATGGATGTATGTGACTCCGCCCCTGGGGAAAGCACGGCCATTGTTCAGCGGCTGGGCCCATGGGCCGCAGAGCCTGCTGGTCTCACTCCACCACCCATTCCAGGTGTCCTCTAACTCCGCGGGACTGGGTCATTATCAAAGTCGGTCACGTGGGTTCCTGCCAGCTAGTTCGCAGTGCTTCGCTCAGCAGCGTGCATTCTAGACACTGGGGAAACGTTTTGTGACTGCTGTGCTGTACTTTGTAATAAAACGTTTGAAGGTCGCCCACTCAGCTCCCTTTGTCCGTCTCCCTCCTGGAAAGCTGCGAAGTGGACATTCCTGTTCAGCATTGTCCTTGGATTTTCATTTGTGATTTCAGACGCCCCTTGAGGAATGTGGAGATCTTGCACCTCAGGAAAGGTGGGAATCCTGGGCCGCGAAGGACTCTCTGCCAAGTGCAGTGTCTAGCAACAGCCCCTCCGAGTGCGGGCAGGCAGAGTTGGGATGTTTTTCTGGTCTCCCCTTCGTCCCGTCTCACCATCCCCAGCGCTTTTCGGCTCTGCCGGGCAGTCGTCCTGGGGACCGGATGATAGGACTTTCTGGGCAGGGCCTAGTGGGTTGTGTGTGTGTGGCCAGCCAGGCAGAGCCCCAGTGCCCTGTGTGGGACGTGCTCTTTACTCACGCCCCTCAGTAATGGTTTTGGGGTGCTGCTGCTTTATTTTGTGTAATTCAACATTTCTGATTGGCAAGAATGAAATGAAATTCCACTTAATGTCTGACTCCTGAGTCTGTTGTGTTTTTACCCCGTGATCCCAAATGCTTCTTACACTTTACTCTTTGCGGCTGGCGTGTGAACTGATTTGCTGAGTGAGAACCTGATATTGGCATCGTGAGATTCTTGGTAGTTGGATTGCAAATGAATTCACACCCATTAACTCTTTGGCTCTGTCTTTTAGCCTGAAAAGTTATTTTTTTGAAAGAGAAGAAGGCACGAGCCCGAGTAAGAAACCTGAATTTTCAGGTTAATCTTTTCATCTTGTTTTCTCCTTTACGAATCAGCCCTGTGGCTTTATGGCGTGTGCTGATGGGGGGACACGGGGGTGGGGAAGACGGGGCCAGGAAGTCGAGCTTGGCCCCCTCAGGGGCGACCTTGGAGGGAGGTGGGGGGAGGTTCACAACTTGAGTTCAGCCACAGGGTCACTGTTTCCACAAGCTGCGGTTAAAAATGGCCAAAAATGATGAGTGTAAGCTGTGAGTTTGGTAAAGAGTTCTGTCCCGACAGCGTCCCTTGCCACTTCACCAAGGCAGTCGTTTTTGTAATTGGCAAACTGGAAACTTGTGCCTAAGTCCGAAGGTGGCCTTGGGGCCGCCAGGAACTCCCTGCCCACCGGGAGCATGAAAGCCGACCACACGTTTGCCAGCGATGAGCCAGGAAATTTGCTGAAAGCATTTGACTTCTCAGGATGCTCGTTCTCCTGCTTCCCGAAAGGCCGGGAGCCTTGCAGAGCTCCCCGCCCCTGCAGGCGCCCACCCACCTTGTGCTGCAAACAGGAGGCGCTCAGTAGGTGCTGATAAATCGGATGGCATCTTCTAGTTCAAAAAGATGAGTGTAATCGTGACCCTGAATAAATGTCGTGTTATTCTGCCGTTCAACATGTACTGTATGACCACCTGCAAATACAAAGTGGAGTCTGTGAACCTCGTGGCAAATACCCGTTGATGTTCCCCACTGTCCCCCACACTTTGTTGGACTTTTCAAACTCCAGGAGGAGTTGAGAGCTTTCCAGGGCACGTGAGCCTGGCGTCTGGCTCCTGCAGCTCCCATTCCACTGCGCTGCACTTTTCCGAGGGCTTCTCTGAGCTCCCTCTCTGTTCCCGAGTGTGCCTGGGGGACGGACGGGGTGGCGTCCTGGGGGACGTGGGGGTCGTCTGCAGGAAGGTGTACGGCCCACCCCCTGCGCAGGGGGGCAGAGCCTGAGAAGGGGAGCGCCCTGCCTCCCAGCTGCGTCTGTCATGCCCCCTAGATGACAGGAGGCCGGGTGGGATTTGGCAGAGCGACATGAGGGCGGTCGCACTGCAACAAGTCATCCCTGCCCTTGGTGGAAAATGGCGACCGCGCTAAGGGAGAGAAGCCCCTGGGCGCCCGCCCCATGGGGACTCCCGCCGAGGGATGCGTTGTTTCAGTGCGGCCAGCAGATGGCACCAGTGATGCCAGTGTCCTGCTGGGGAGCAAGTTCTGGATTCAATTTCAAGGACTTAAGTTTGTTAGAGAAAATGAGCGTAGGCTTCCCGTTTGCTGCTGTTACTAAGTTTATAAAACACTTGGAAAGTAGAATCCAGGGATTACTTCTCCTGTGAGAGTAATACTTCTAAAAATAATAGCTTTATCATTAGAAAAATGGATGGCCTTCTTAGGGAAATGCCAGAAGCAACAATTTTTCAGAGGCCAGGGTCCTGATTTTTTCTACTTATAAATTTAATGTCCCCATTGGTTTCCTTCTGGGACCTCGAGTCCTGGCTGCGGGTGGAATAGCACTCGTTTGCCCTTTAGCATTATTCCTGCCCTACCTTTGGAAGGTAAGATTCCGAAAGCGAGATCTCCATCCCTGGCTATGGCTACTGGACACGGGGTCTGTCGCCCCGGATCTGGCCGTCACGTCAAATGTTAATATGCAGCCCTGGCCCACCCACTGTAAGTGCACATTCTTGCCCTGCAGATTTTTTGGGGGGGAAGTATTTTTGATATTTTTACTTCTGAAATGATTTGGCAGCTTTTACCCTTGGCAATGATTTCTTAACGACCACCCTGAACACTAGGGAATTTCTCAAAAGAAGTGTTTTCTGACAAGTTGTTTTCAAATGTATCGAATGTGTTTGGACAATAGTGAGGTCTACAGCATCTGTACACGTTTAATGAAACTGACCCGCTGGGCATGTTATTTTTTTATATTTTGAAGCCAATTTCCTCCCTGTCCCCCCTCCAGTTGTTTGGCAGTCTTTGGGTAAAGCCTTACATAGAAGCCCGGGACCGTGGGTCCAGACCGACTGCTAGAAGTCTGTCCTGGCTGCAGAGCTGAGAGAGGCAGTTCCGGCACAAGCCACCTATTTCCCGGAGAGGTGCGGGGTGACAGCCAGGGGCTGCCAGCATGTCACAGCTCTGCGGGACGTGCCCTACAGTGGGGTTCCTTTATCACACAGTTTCCGCAGAAGGCGGGCGAACCCCGTGGCCACAGTTTTGAGAGGTTGTTATTCTCCGACATCACAACAGGCGTTGTCCCCACAAGACAAATCGGTGGAGTAAATCATTCTCTAAACCATTGTATGGACGTCTGTGGCGGAGTTTGCATCAGTGAGTTGAGAAACACTCTTGAGGGTGAGAGCCGTGTCCAAAGCAAATAAAAACCTCTTGTGCACTTGCTTAAAATGTGAGTGGGCCCCTTAAAAAACAACTGGTGGGCGTTCTTATTCTTGTAGGTTCTCCCCATGGCGGCGGGGGAGGGGGGGACGTGGCGGGGAGAGGGAGTGGGCAAAGCACTAAGAAGAAACTCAGTCACCGCCTCCCGTGGGCCCGAATCTCGTCCCCGCCCTCCGGGCCGTCAGGACCACCTCGGTGCGCATCAGTCACATCTGCACCTTCACGCCTCTCTCTCCTCCGCTGCTGGCCAGGAGCGTGGCCCCCTTCCTGTGCTCACGAGTCTCAGTGATCAGATGCGCCCGGTGGCCTGTCGTACCCGGTGTGGGCATCGCTCCAGGTGACTTAGGGTCCCCGACCAGACTTCACCACGGGGCTGCCTGGGGACTGGGAGAGGCTGGCTGTTCCTTCCCTGCGCGCACCTGGACTTCCGGCCATGGCTGGTCACCTTCCTCTGTCGGGTGCCAACTGGCGCACTGCATTTGCTGTCGTTCCCCTTCCTTCGGAGATGTTTCCGGCTCTGGGGTTGGCCTTTGAAACAAGTGCAGTGGAGGCTGATGTTATCTGAGGAAGACTTTGCGTGATGACTGATACTTCCCACTGCCTTTGGACTCATGGCTCCTGGTCCCACAGGGTCCGGGGAAGCTGTCAAGGCTCCCTTCCTCTCGGGCTTTCATGGATGTGACCCCCTCCTTGGGCCGCATGGGGTGGCTTTGCAGGAAGGGCCTGGTGGCCCGTGGGGGAGGCCCACACATGGTTGTGTTTAACAGCTGAGAATTGCCCGAGAAGCACAACCAGCATTTGTTATGGACCAAACTGTGCCCCCACCCCCTCACCCCAACTCACATGCTGCTGTCTCCGCCCCCAGCACCCCAGAAGATGGTGCATTTGGAGACTCAGTCTCCCAAGTGGGTGATTAGTTCAACGAAGTCACTCAGGGCGGCTCCAGTCGAGTATGACTGATGTCCTCATAAGAGATTAGGACACAGACCCACAGAGACACCCAGAGACAGGACCATGTGAGGACCCAGGGAGAAGACAGCTGTCTGCACACCGAGGAGAGAGGCCTCCCCAAACCCCACTCCTCCCGACTCCTTGATCTTGGACATCTGGCCTCTGGAACTGGGGGACACGAATCTGTCAGGTCCATGGCACTTTGTCGCAGCAGCGGCCACCGAGCTAAGACAGTGTTTCCATGTGTGACGTGGTATCTGCCACCCCACTGCCCTCGGAAGACAGCCCACGTCCACGCCGCACCTACAGGAGCCTCCACAGACACTTCCAGATCTCCCAGGCCACACCTGCTGGGGAAGGGTCTCCTGACCAGCGCTCACCGGAAGACCCCGGCCAGCAGCACCACGGGGCCACCTCACCCTGATGCAGGGGCAGGCTGGACCTTCACCCCAACACTGGGTCACAGACTTCTCACAGCCCGCGTGCTGGCTGCCCATGCGCTGGGCAGAGGGGCTTCTGTTTGCAGGACAGGCTTCTCAGCGCGCCTGCTAACCCGTGGAGGACCCGAAACGGAGAAGCATGACGCCTTCAGAGCAGGGCTTGGTGTGTTTATATCCATGTCGGTACTGGCTGCTTTTCTAGCGGGGACAGAGCTGGGCCCTCCTCCCCAGTTTGGGGAGAAGGTAGGGAGGGCATCTTGAAGAAGGGGGTTTGGGACTTTGCCCCAGGCGATGGGGAGCCACCAAACCCCTGACAGCGTGTGTGTGGGACGGCTGACAAGGCTGCCACCTCCCCGCCTCCTGCTGGCTGCCATGCAGGCCAGAAACCGAAACGGGCCCGGGCAACACATGAAAATCGCAGGCTTTTGCATTACTGAGCTCCTGTTCGGTGCGGAGCGAGCTCAGCACTTTCTGTGTGCTGTCTAGTTTCGCCCCCATAAAAGCCCTGTGAGGACGTGACCGTCCTTATGCCCATGAGATCTGAGGCAACTGAGGCCCCCGAGAGTCCTCTGGCACATGTGTGACATGTCTAGACAGTAACCGCTGACCCAGACACCAGGGTGGGCTGGGAATGGAATATCTGAATTGGTCCTGGGGCTGCAGCCAGATGGTGCCTCGGAGACGTAGGTGGGGCTGGTGGGCCCCAGTCTGGCCAGCAGGAGGCAGCCAGGAGGGCTCCAGGGAAGGGGGACACCAGTTTTCTTCTCGGTGGGGGCTCTGGGAGAAGGACAGGAATGGGCGTAAACGTGGGGTGTTCTCAGTGGAAGGGTCCGTAGCTGCATCCGCCTTCCCTGCTGAGCAGCGAACCCCCTGCCCAGGGCTCTGTCCTGGTCTTCCCGCCTTTGGCGTTAGTCTCCCAGGACTAATGCCACAAAGGACATCAACCTGGCTTGACCACAGAAGTTGATTCCCT